TAGGATTAGTATATTGGTATAAGTCAGGGTTTAGGGCTTCGCTCCGGCTGGTGGAAAGCCGCATTTTGCATGCACCCGGGCATGAGTCATCCCTCCTACCCATAGGCCCCTAAGTAGTTCCTTTTTATGGCTTATATTTGGAATCCCATAAGGTAATCCCAAAAAGGAACTACTTAGTTAGGGGCCTATGGGTAGAGCCTCCAAAAGCCTTTTGTGCAGTCCCGACACAAAAAGGCTACGTAGAGTCTCCATTGGTAGTTCCTCTTTGGGGTTCATATATGGGATCCTGAACATAAAGCCAGCCGGGCAAACCCAAAAAAGGAGCTGCAATGGACCATAGGTAAATGCTAGACTGCCTAAACCCTGATGCGGATGCCAAGGAACAGCTCGCTTCGTTTGGCTGTTCTCCTGCGACTCTCCTGTGCTGCAGGACCCAGAGAGCCCAATACCCCTTAATTAAGGAATATACCTTAAATTACAAGGGGCGTAATATTCCCTAAGGCTCCAAAGGTGTTCACATTTGGGGTCTTTCGGGAAAAGTCACACTGGTGAATAATGTTGGGCAAATACCTCCCTCAGCAATGACTCAGGAATAACACATAATTACATGATTCCAAGGGACCATGTTCTCCCTCTGATCGGACTGTCATCGGACTGATTCTTTTGCTCATGGTGCTCGGATTTGCTGCATTTCTCAAATTTCGATGCATTCGTTTGAATTTCTTGCAGGTTTAAAGCTTTAAAGCTCACACGGCACTGTAGAAACGCCGCAAGAAGGAGAACTCCAGGCTTCGGCGATGGCACATTTTGGACAATCCTGATACAGGGGGCGCATGCATGAAACCTATATATACCAATCGATTCACATCTCTTTTTCATCTCCCCTGCCTTTCACATATCCCATAAACGATTCATCTCGGAATGTGTGGCTGTACTTGGGGTTGTGGCCTAAGATTGCATCGCAGATGACTCGACCATGTATGGCATGCCTGTGCATTCTAACGCATGTACATGTACATTCAGTCGAGAATCCATCCAGCATCGCCATCTGTGCTATCTCCTGCCATCCCTCAGACCAGCACATATCTCAGTATGCACGTACATGTAACTCCGGTTGACAAAAAAAACGTATCCCACTATTTGCAAGCAAGGTGCGTGCATCTTGGGTCGCAGGATCCAAAGCATTTCGCGGCTTTCAGAAGCCATCTGCGCCAGCTTCACATATGCAACAGAGGACCTGTCCTCGGCTGAATTCTGCATACACTATAGTCTTCGATTCCATGATGCGTTTAATGGATGCGGATCCAAGGAACACAGGCCTGTAGCAATTGTTTGCGCTCGTCCACATTCATGTAACGCGGGAACTTGTCCATCATGTTGAAAAATTCAGCGAGCCAGTACCTTATAATGTATGCTCACCATAACCCGAAAGTCCCAGCCTTGTCTGCAGTACATAAAAGCCAAGAGTCAGACACTTCACCAACTGCTCGAAACGCTTTTCTCCAGACTTTTCCGGATAAAGCATGCAAAGCCTGGCACTCATCCAAGCCGTCACCACTCTCGCCTAAGTCGGAAGACGAAGCATGGAATAAACATGTGAACCAAAATCCACATTGTAGACTTCGAAACGAATCATGCCCAGTCGCATTGTGACCTTTGCATGCAAGCTCCGCATAGCCAGTCATCGTATCACGAATGGTGCATGGGCGGAACTCCGGCTGGGAGTGCCTTACAATGTGAGGGTTAAAGGGGCAGGGGTGTAGAGTTGCTTAAGGATGTTTCCTGCTATTTTGTGTACATCACATAATATAGATGTCGAGACTCTGTAGCTTCATGGCCTTGGCCCAATCTACAAAATCCATATAAGCCACTCCCAACCGTGCTGTGAGCACATTCTTGCTCGTGGTTCCCACAGGTGTCGGCCACACATCCTGATATTATGCAGCATATGTACATGTGTCACACAGAAACACAACTCACGAGATCTAAGTTGAAAGCTAATTTAACTTAAAGCTTGCATTGCAAAAAATGCAATCGTACATATGCATGTTTCCTCGTACTTCAATAGTTCGAAGATGGCAGAGCCACAAGCCCAGCATGCGATGCCGAGGTTAATTGTATGGAGAGAGCACCATTTGACCATATTATGGTCGAAGCCCCGTACACGGAGCAAGCTGCCTGTACGAGCACATGTACTGCTGCAAGCTGCACATTCGAGTCTATGCGCAAACATGAATTGAAAATGAACCAGCACTTGATTAAGAAATGCCCTGTTGCAGCGATCACCGTGCTGGTTTGCTTTGCAAAGTTCCTCGAAATCGGAAAGGGTTCGGCGCTTTTCCAGGGGCAAACGACATGGAAATGTCAAGTAGGTGTTGTCGTGGGCCATGCAATGGTGGCATATCCATGCACTGTTCCATCCCGATGTTAGGCTGAAAGCCTCCTGCATGGACAGGTATCTGTACGTGTACATGTTCGAATGCACATGCACAAGGTACGTATATTTTTTTGAAGTCTCGTCCTTGTAGAACTTCCAGTCGCCTCGAAGCTCTGTTAGGACCGTTGGCGGGTAGCGATTTTCGGGCTCGATGTCGTTCAACTCATGCACTGGGTCGATCGATGGATCTCCGATCCACCGCTGTGGGGCTATGCCATAGCTTGCATAGTTCAAGGATGCTGCAACCTTATAGTATTCTTTATTTTGGGGTTTAGGGTCCAGGGTTTTTTCTTTAATTTGGGGTTAACGGTCCAGGGTTTCCAGAACAAAGCCTTAAAGGGTACAGGGTCTAGGGTTTAGGGGAAAAAATATACATTAAACAACCGGTACCAAGAAAAAAATATATTAGTGCTGATGTTCATGGTGCTCGCATCAGAATCGAGCAGCTGGCTTCATATAGGCCTCCAGGGTGTCAAAGCCGGTGCTCAATGCCTCATGATGGCCAGATTTGTCTGGTGTGCAAGCCAGCTAGACCGACCAACTAATGCAGCTAGGACTCACATCTGATGATGAATAGAGGGTATCGCCGCTGAGTTTCATCCAAGAGGAAGTTCATACTCAAGCAGACAACCTTCTGGCCAGTTTCAGTAAACCGGCAGTCGTCACCATGCAGGCCGATAGGAATACAGGTATCCTCCCACACATGTGGCCATTTGATGACCTGCTTGCTGGTGCACTTCTTGAAGTGCCCCCAAAACTTCCTAAGCTCAGCTTTGAGCTCGTCGCCGCCATAGTGCTTGGATCCGTGGCGGCACAAGTAGAGGCAAAGCTCATGAGGAAGGATCAGAGGCATTTTCCTGGAGGAGCATGAAGACAGCACTATTGCAATCACATATATAGTGTACCTTCGACACGATAGCCGACTAGACTTTAAATCTAATTTTACAATCCGGTAGGGGCCTTGATTCAGTACACCATTCCTTGGTCGTCGGATGCCGGGCACGGACTGGCACGTCCACATACTGGATGGGCACCTTGCTTGCACCGTGTGCAGGCACTCGAATGGTATATTCGATACGTGAGGCTAAGGGGTGCATGATGGTTGTGACGAGGCACCGTTTCATCCAGGGATCTCCTCATAACATCTCTCTCGATGTTCGACTCGTGGGTGCCATAAGCCCCTGCACTTGCAAGGTCCAGCAGCGGCTGACGTGGCCGAACACCGAGGCCCTGGAACTCCTTTGCAACACATGCACATGATCACTTAAGTTGGTGGCTATGTGCACATGCTCCGAGTGTATCCTGCACAGCAGCATGCGCCACCTTCTGTGCTGCAACATAGCTGATCTCCTACAGGGCTGCTGGCATGAACTCGAATCGAATGAACAAAGCTTTCATGGGTCAGTCCCCGGTAGAGACCATGGACTTCAGCTTACCCGCCGTCTCGGAGTCACCGCATTGCCCTGCGCAGGGGTTGGATGATATGGAATGGAATTGTGCAGCACGGCTGCATCCTGCATGGCTGCTTTGATCTTTTTGTGCGCTCGCGAGGACCCCCTAGCCCTGTCGAGCTTCAGAACTCGCTTTGAAGCGTCGTCGTCGATATCTAGAGTCGTATTTGAATGAGCCTTGCACAGCCTTGCATTTCAGCACTGCCGTGTTGTTCGATCGAACACGATCGGTAGCTCGTGAGGTTAAACCGGCCTTGGGACCATGGGACCATTCACCAGAGAGGGCGTTGATTTCTAAAGGAGCCCATAGCACTAAGGCATAGATAGATCTAGAGTTAAGCTGGCATATACCGGGGGTTTAGGGCCTGAGGCCAGGGATTTAGGGGTTTAGGTTTTGGGGCTTATTTTTTGTTTCGAGCTAAACATTCGATCGAGTCCAGTGGACACTATGTTGCTTAGGCCAGGGATTTCAAGAATTTCCTAATATAGAACTATAAACCGTAGCTATAGCTAAGAATAAGAGTTAGTACCAGTACATGTGTCATAGTGCATGCACATAGCTTCTTATTAGGGTGCCTTAGGGGTACTATTCTTAAAATTCGTCCCCTTCTAAGGGTCATGGCCACAGGCCCATGGACATTGCCGGCCGAGTGCCCACATCACTCATCTCTTTGCTGCAGGAGCTTTCTTAGCAGCAGCTTTGGGTTTCTTCTCCTTGGGAGGAGCCTTAGTATCCCAAACAGAAGTCGGGGGAAATGCTGTATGCACATGTACATGTGGGATCAATATTGTACATGCAAACAATATGCAGTCATGACTCGAAAGCTGCACGAATGGACTTCATTCCCACCTGGTACTTCTCCATGGCCATCTGGACATCATTTATCCCCGGCACAATGACCTTTTCATCACCTGTACCCGTAACCACAACAGCTTCCAGGGCATCGATCTTCTCAGTAAGGTTCTTAACCAAGAAGTTGATTTGATGCCCATAGCCATCACACATCTCAGGTGACCTTATATGCGGATCGAATGGATGGCTGCTGTGAAGTGCCTCGATGCATTATATTAAGCCGAGGGACACCATTGAGCCCTTGCCTTTCTTCCGTTCTTCATCCACCTTGTGCGCCCACATTTTGGCATCCGTCAGCAGGGACTTTGCATCTTTGATCTTTCCACCAGCTTTGTTCTGTTTTCGTTTTTGCTGGCTTGGGAAGAGCCAGAGTCCCAGGCGCCTGCTGCGACCCATGCGCATCACCGTTGCCAAGCTGCAGTGGCCCTGGCATTGCCGACGAGTTCAGAAGCGCTGGCCTGGCATGAGAAGCATAAATTTAAATGCCTAGCTATATATTGCAGCAATACTACGTACTAGGCCTAGGTATAACAAGAGTCCTGGGGGTCATTGCTGTCCAATTCTAGGAATCATAGATTGTTCAGATTAGATAGACGAGGTGAGGGATTGTGGATTCTATAAGTATGGGGCTTTAACGGGAGAAGTTTGCGGGCCTGTCTGTTTTGCAAAAAATCCCATCCCAAAGTCCGGTAGAAATAGATGTACACAGTTGAGGGTTTAGGGTTTAGGGATTATATAATAATATTTAAAATATTATTTAAATCGATGGTATAGTGATTCGGTCACTTGTGGGGTCGATTTGAATCTTCAGGATAGAAGCCCCTCGACCTAGCAAGGATAACTCAAGCTGAAGGCCACATTACCCCATGGGATAATATAGTCCGGTACCATGTCTTAGATGTAGACAGACCTGCCTGCTCTCGTCCTGCATACTTGGAAAATCATAGTTGTGGATTCCACTGCATTAGGAAATAGCGGCTGTAGTCTGAAAACCCAAAGCCACAGGAGCCCTTAAAGCTGATTCGCGATCACCGATTCGTGAGCTAGCCTTTATAAGCAGTACCCCAAAGACCCGAATGAACAATGCAAGAAAACAAAATCCCCACACCCTATATAAATCTGAATTCTTAACCCTACTACCCTAAACCATTCAAGCCAGTACATGTAGAATTGAATCCGAGGTGCATGATCATCTGCCCTTGGGGGCCACTCAATTGCATGTTGGCCTCGAACCTGTGGTTTAGCTCATCTGTTCGGCGGCTCTCCACGCGTGCGGATTCATAGACCAGAAACATTTCCATTTCCTGGCAAGGGGATTACACAAAACATGCATGTTGGAACATCGGACATGTGATAGCATGATCTAGATTGGGATCGGCACCTCGTCATTTGGCCAATCAGGATGCTTGAACCAGTAGGGAGCATCCGGTTGGTAGTTGCCATGCACTCGTTGGAGTGCTTTCTTTTCATCCCGAACCGATTTTGCACGGCCTTCTCCGTGCTTAAGCTTCAGGCTTTCGAAGGTCACATAGTGCTGGGAGCCACTGACAGAGGTTTGCTGCTTCCTTTTCTGTTCTAGGACGATGGAGCTGTTCATCCAATCCATCCCGGAGTCCATGTAAATCTTGAACAGCTCTTTGAGGACGACAGTCCCTAGATTACAGTGGGCACATACACACAGCAGGGGCGACAGCATCGGGTGAAATAAAACATGTATATGTACATCTAATCGCCATCCAAGGTACCATATTTGCCATCGGCAGCCTTCTGCAAGATCACATCTGGACAATTCGCACCTGGCAAGATTAAAGCCGGTCAATGCAGGACTGCTGCTGTGTAGAACAAGGTCAAGCATGCACTTTAATGTGAGGCAAGGCACTTTGCAGGGATCGGTTGAATTTCATGCGGTCCCTTTTGGCTTTCTTCTTGGCTTCTTGCATCCGGAGCTCCTCTTCATCGGCATAGTCCTCACTAGGACAGTCGCTGTCATGATCAACCATATGACCAATGCCACCATAGGGATCCACTCTGTTGAGATCTGAGGGCTGAGGATTCTCAGTAGCAGGAGCCAATGCAGCACCAGCAGAGGGCTGAGGATTCTGAGTAGCAGGAGCCACTGCAGCACAGGGCTGAGGATTCTGAGTAGCAGGAGCCACTGCAGCACCAGCAGACACGGCCTGGCACATTGCAATTGTTGATCTAGATCAAACACACAGCTGACAGAGAGCTCGAGAGAAGTAGCTGGCCTGGATGTCGACAGTACTCAAGCGCTGCAATGCCGCTGTAGTCTGTTGAATCTGTTCCAGCTTCTTGGCCGAAGGCTTGTCATTCGGGGAAATCGGAGTCCTAGTGAAAACCAGTGCAGAAGTTAATGTAGTATCAGGTTACATGTGCACTCAGAATCCTTGAAGCTTCGATGGTAGCAGCAGTGGGTTGCACAGGATGGGCGCCATCACCTTCTTGCGCTGGAGCTTCTGCTGCAGTGGGCTCTTCCTGGAAACAGGAGCTTCTTAATAATTGTTTAGGGGTTTAGGGTTTATGGGTTTAGGGTTTGGGGGTGCAGGGTTTAGGGGTTTAGGGTTTTGGGGTTTGGGGCCGGGTTTTAGGGGTACCTATATACTACTATGCTACATACTAAAAAAATGACTAGCCCAGATCTAGAGTTAGAGCTATGCATGATCAGACAACAGTCTCCGAGCTAGTGAGTTGCAGCACAATCTAGAGCCCATAAAAAATAAGATAACTTAACATTTTTAGTCGGGTATGTGCCTTCAGGACCATCCTTGCTAGTTCGGCTTCCAAGAAGGCGTCATCATTGAGAATCTCTACTGAGCCAGTGTCCGAATGCACATCGCAAGGAGCATCATCTCTGGCCTGCCCCTCTGGGTGACCATGGCTGGTTCCGGAATCACCTCCCCCTTCTGGTGCATGTGCTTTCTCGGAATCTTTCTGGCCTCCCCCTTCTGGTGCGTGTGCTTTCTCGGAATCTTTCTGGCCACCCCCTTCTGGTGCGTGTGCTTTCTTGGAATCATTCTGGCCACCCCCTTCTGGTGCGTGTGCTTTCTCGGAATCATTCTGGCCACCGCCTTCTGGTGCATGTGCTTTCTTGGAATCATTCTGGCCACCCCCTTCTGGTGCGAGTGCTTTCTCGGAATCGTTGTGGCCACCCCCTTCTGGTGCGTGTGCTTTCTTGGCATCATTCTGGCCACTCCCTTCTGGTGCATCATGTGTTTTCTTGGAATGACATCCCCCTTCTGCTGTATCTACTTGTGTGGAATAACCATTCAGGTCATCTCCATTCACATCCACATAGGCAGAAGGATCACATAGCAGGGTCTCAGCCGCATCTGGTAGCTCAACGGCTGCAGGGGCTTCTGTTGCAGAGGCACCGGTGGTGGCATGAACCTGTGCATGATCCTGCGTGCAAGCATCCACTTGTGTAGACTCCAACAGCGTATCATCTAGAGCAGCTGCACAATCATCCTTGAGGACATCGTAGGCAGCCTTCTGGGCAGCATCCATCTGTCGCCACAGCTCTAGCTTCTGGGAGAACACATCTGAGAAGCCATGCTTTTGAGCGAGCCCCATAACTTTGTTGAGTGCAAGGCCAGCCACCTCAGCAGCCTTCCCTGCCTTTAGCTTAAGTTCCCGTGACTTAGAAAGCAAGCGATCCATTTCCCCCTGGAGCCACTTCTCAACCGTCACCTTGCGCTCATTGTTGTCGCCCTTAAGCTTTGCATCAAGGATTCTTTGGGCTGCTGTTTCTGCTGCTGCCTTCCGCTTCGGCAAGTCGTTCTCATCGTACGAGGCCTGCTGCTCGATTGCATCCAAGGCCTGCAACATAGCATCCTGACAAGACATCACAGTCTCACCCAGCTTCCAAGCTTCAGCAGCAGCCAGTAGGTCATCAAAAGGCTTGCAGCTAGAGACAAAGTCGTTCAGGAAATAGTCTTGCATCGCTTGAAGCCCATACGACATCAACCTTGGACCCGACTCTGCATCCATAAAAATTAAGTCGTAGGCCTGGCCATCCAGCTGCAAGAAATCATCCATGTAGAGGGGCACCCGGGCATCCTTTTGGATGCTAGCTTGTGACCACTGCAAGGTAGGTCGGGAATCGACAGAGATCGGGCCTCCTCGGATTCAGGATGATGGATGGGATCGGGGTTGTGGTTTGCGCTTGGGATTCGAATTCAGTGCATGCATGCTATATCTAGCCTTTATAAGGGTATAGGGTTGAAGGAACAATAATTATATTATACTAGTGATAAGACTTGTAGGTTTGTTCCAATGATTCAGGATCCGGGTCTCAGGAGTAGGTGATTTTAATGTGGTTTCTTCGGTTGGTGGAGACGAACAACTGCAATCGAACAATCCCTCAGCATGACCCTAGGGCCTATGATCACGATGGATTAATACTAGTATTGTATGATCATGAACAGTCTAGTCTGGACTCTAGCATGCATAATGTGTGCCATGAACTACTGAATCAGTTCACACTATATTGTACTTGTACAATTTTGCAATATATATATATATTAAAATTAAATATATATATATATATAATTTATAATAATATATATATATATAGCTAGTAGTACTTATAAAAGAGCATGCATTCATTAGGTAGGCTAGATATATTCCATCTAGAGCTAGCATAGATCATGATTAAGATGAGTTGCGAAACTCCCCGGAGCAACGGCGGCCTCGAACATAGAAACCACTTGATGAGGAAATGGATCTGGCATCCGATTCCGCTGCTGAGCCCTGGGAGTCTCTGCTGAGTGGGATGGAATCACTTCCAGCCTTGGACCTTTTGGCAGGAGGGCTTTTGGTGGGGGTCCAAGCGACACTGGGTCGAGAGGCAGGTGGCTCCTCACAGTTCTCCTTTCCCCTGGATCGTGGTGCTCGGGCTGCAGGTTCCGGAGTCTCGTTGTTTGCACGTGCCCCCGTAGGTTTCTGAGCATCCTTCACTGGTGCCACTTTGGCAGGATACTGCGGGCCTAAGATGAACAGTGGCTTTACATAATGCGCTAGATTAAATCGAAGCATCGACGAGGTGTCCTGTACATACTACTTAATCGTAGAAGATCCAGGATCGTATGATCATAAGCAAGAATGCAACCCAGTGTCCCGGGTTGGCCAATCCAAGTGCAGCACGAACTTCGGCAGCAACATTTAGACCAGCAGAGGATCCCTGAGTTTGGAAAGAGTCACATATTCCAATACAACACACAACCGTCTTTGGGAATCATGATCCGTGCTGCCCAGTAACTATTGAGTCCGCCGAGGAGCGACGGGAGAGTTGCGAGTCCACAGAGGCCTTCCTTGTGAGAGGGCCTTGAGCAGCCTTCTTTGTGTAGGGGCCGGGCCTCGCCCGCTCGTCTTTAGATAAACTCATGAGTGTCCCCTGCACACCAAAGGGCCTCGAAAGGCTACAAGCACCAAAGAGCCGGCGTCTGGGTTCGGGCCAAATTGTGGGATCCGCGGGTCACGTAAATTCACGCTGAAACCTTCCGGAGAGAGGACTTTTCACGCAAATTCACGGTAATTCACGCGCAGGCGTGAATTCTGTACCTTCGGGACATGTACGCACAGCACCCGGGATTTTCGGCACACAACGTCACAAGACTGCTCGGGGAGGCCTTTAATTATCACCAGCGCCTGGAAAAAACACTCTGAGGAAGGATTCTGAGTGATAACACAGGCTTACGTAAGCAAGTGTGGCTAGCCAGGATCTAGAGAGCCATCTAGAATGTATTTTGGGGCCTCGAACTAATTACCGGATCTAAATAAAGTCTTTGGTGCGTACAGGGAACAACATTCCAGGGAAGGTCTTTTCCAGGCCAGGCTTGAGATGTGGGCAGGCCCACACTTGAAGCACCACAAAATTGGATGTGGGGAGCTTGGAGCTTGAGGCTGATATGTATGTACCAACCAGACCACCCATTGCTAGTGAAAGGGTTGAGATTGCAGGAGGCTTTAGTAGGTGTAGCTAGTGATGGTAGGTGTAGAGCTATGACTAGCAAGGGCCCCACATCCCTACAGAATCGGTGCGAATGCTCCTTGGCAGGTCGGGCGGCGGGCTCCAGTAGCCTTCATCTTCAACTGCTTCGAGAAATTCTCGCAACTCTGCAAGATTGGCTTCTTCCCATTCCGACCACAAGGGTGGGACCTAGCTTAGCATTGTGCTGTAGCTTCCGGAGTTTCTGGACATGGTTGCAGCATAGCACACACATGTCGGCAGCGAGTTAATTGCATATCCAAGCCACAACCAAATCTCCAGCAACGAGCTTATCGTGCAAGGAGTAGAGGCCCAGGCTTGCACCCACGTCGGCATCGTGCCGGCCAGCCTCAAATCAGTAAGGGAAGCCGATATATGCATAGTCCTTACAATTGCAATTGCATCCTAGCCACCAGCATCCCCAAATGAAGTTCAGCCACTCGGACCCCAAAATCGATAGGATATGCACCAGACTTCACCAAGCTGTCTTTGACACCGGTCCTGGGTATAAAGGCTAGATGTTGTTGGTGACAGAATAGAATAATCATGATCAGACAATATACGATACATAAAAACATATTATTACTCACACACACATATATATATATATATATATATTTAATTTTAAATATCGATCTAGTATATATACATGTACATGTATGATCATCTATGATATGCTAGCCTAGAGAGATAGATAGCTACAGTCAGTACATATTCTTTTCATCCTAGATCCGATCGAGTTACACCTTCTTCTTTCCACTGCCGTCTTTGGCAATGGTGCGCTTGACCAGCACCATCTGCATATCAGCCTGTCTCTGCTTGATGCGTTGGCGGTCCTGCTTCGTGAGTCTGTTCTTGAGCTGCATCACCCAAGGCCTCATATGATGAAGTATGTCGTGCATGCAAATTTAGAATAAGCTGTCACACCACTGCTCAGACACGGTAGGGATGCAGTCACATAATAAGGGATGTGCGCAGATCCGAAGCCAATAGATGGCTTGCAGCACCAATGGTTGTAGAGGCCCATCCACCTGCATAGACGACTACCTTTACTGTACCGGTACCGGGACATTGCAGAAGCATGAGGCCATTGAAATGCCGACAAGCAGCCATCTTACCCTGTTGCAGTCTTCAAAAGCACAGTTCAGGGTCTTCAGATGTTTGGCATACTCCAGGTAGGGGAAGAACTCCAGAGCCGATAAAGAAGGCTGTTCGATGAACCAAAAGACCCCTCGGGATATTGCTATCATTACAAGCAATATAGCTCTGCAAGATAGGAGGTTGCCGAGCTCGACGGATGCCAAATCTTGCCGGCCAAGTGGGTTCTCACTTGACCTCTGGTGGGTGGCCTTGGCCATCCAGCAAAAACTGCCACATGGCACACCTAACCACAGGAGTCCTCCACGACGAATACGCAGCACGCGCTGGATAGCTAGCAGAAATCCAGGGATCGAGGATAAATCTTCATCAGCATTTCGGAGACAGTCAAACTCCATCCTCATGTGTACTATGCATACAACAGCTTTCGGGTTGCTGCCATCGGATCCAAAACCAATCTAAAGATTTGATGCTGCCCAGGCGCGCTTTGCACCCCTTGGATCCTGGAAAGAGAGCTACGTGGGCCATTGGATCGATGGGTCTTGGATTAACTTTAATTACGGGATCTAGCCTCCGGATCCATCGTATATGGTATGGGCACTACAGATGTAGAGTGATGCTTGTATATAGTGATCTAGTGGGTACACAGCCATGCCAGTCAAAGCTCACACTGGGAAATCGTGTGGTTGGGGGTTGGCGCTAGCAGGGGATCTAGGCTTTCGAATGGAATAGCTTGCTGGTGGATCGTGTGGTGTTGTTCTTATCTTTTGATGGGTTCGTGTTATGGGTATAGGTTTATATGGTTCCTTATATAGCATAGTTTCATTTTAGAAACAGTTAGTACTAAGTACAAGTCCCATGGACGACTCGGCTGTGCGAAAGGGAGCTGAGTCTCCCGAAGCTCAATGGTGTTGCCAGTCTATGGCTTGAAGCTTTTCCCTGGGTTTATGTTGCTTGGGGTTAGTTAAAGCCAAAGCCACAAGTATGAAGCACCTTAGTCCAGAGCTTCACCAGCGAGATATGATCATATTTAAATTTTAATACTAAAGAGAACGACAACTAACCGAATCAGATAAGGACATATGGACAACGATGATGGACGACCGAGCCTCGTTTGCAAGTTCGGATGCTAGCTGTCATTAGAGTCGAATCCGACTTTCCAATATTAGTTTATAAGCTTAATAATATCTCAGTAGAATTTGAACTAATTTGATCAACACTAGCCAACAGATGTCACTCTCCTGTATGCCAGACCCTTGCTATGATCAGCAAACATCTGCCGTGGAAACAGATTCCCGCAACCACGGATTGAATTCAGGAGAGTGATTTTTTTGTGGCCTTGTTGTAGCAGAAGGGGCGTACCCGCAGCCCACCTATCCGATCAGATGGGACTGCTCTGCCAAGGCTTTCAATTCTTGAATTCGGATTTCATCGGTAGCCTTGCAAAGGAGGCATACATTCCGATATCGATTCGATCAACTCAAGCGCCAATCAAGAAATGTCGCTCTCCTCCGTAACAGACGATGCTATATCAGCAAACATCTGCCGTGGAAGCAGATTCCCGCAGGATGCCCGCAACCACGGATCCAGGAGAGCGATTTTTGTTGTGTTAGTGTGGCCTTGTTGTAGCAGAAGGGGCGTACCCGCAGCCCGCCTATCCGATCAGACGGGACTGCTCTGCCAAGGCTTTCAAGTGGCTACTGCATTCATCCGGGTCTGATGTTGATTATATCTTGAAGGAATCTGTAGCTTTCCTTGTAGGAGTCCTACTCGACTCCCTAGGTCGACACATTATACCATGGCCATTAATAGTACGACCAAAAAAGCTGCCTGCAGTGCCTTAGCCAGCTGTCTATACCTAGCACTACCAAGCATGTAGAGCTACATACCAGCACGATACGTAGTCTGTAGTCGCATTAGCAAGTAGAAGTAGTAGTAGTAGTAGTAGTAGTAGTAGTAGTACTAGTAGTAGTACCAGTACTAGTAGTACTATATATAGTACTAGTAGTAGTACTGCTACGAACTACTATACTATACGACTAGTACTAGTGCTAGTACATAGCTAGTAGCAGTGGTATACTATACGAGGGTACAATTTGCTTTTAATAGCCACTCCGTCTGTTGACCAACTCTAGCTTGGTTAACGGGACCATGCATAGGTTCGTTCGGATTCTCAGGGTATGGTTTAGGGATTATAAGGATTAGGGTTTAGGCATGATCAGCTACTGAACCTGGAGCCCTTTATCGGCTATTCTGCCAGTGGTGTCAAATGCATCTGCAATCCAATATGTGATTTGAGCTGGTATGTCATCCCATGCTGCCCGGTAGCACTGGAACTACTGTACATGTACTAGTACGTACTAGTGTCCTATAACCGTAGCTAGCTAGCATTCTGCCAGGTAGCAGAGGTACACCAGGCATCGATTCGGTGGTTAGGGTTAAAGTGGTCGGGTAAGTTTCATTATTAATTTTATTGGAGTCCGTACTAGACCTGAATTGTTCGAAGTCCCTCTTACCGGCTGTTCTGCTACCTGTGTCCCAAGCATGATCATTTACTATCGGTAACCATAGCACATATAGTTATTTTTTTAATCGATCATCATAATAGCCATGTCGACAAGCACCCTGCACTATAATTATATGTGAGATGCCTACACATGATCCAATAGATGGCCCCAGAACTAGCATACCAGACCCTTGAAACAAACAGCCGAAGATACCCGAACGAACTATGTAAGTTAGACTTAGACCTTGAAGCAGTCCTGGAAAGCCAAGCTAAGGCTATTGATGTACATTATCGGCACGGCAAGCCGACGACCCTCGGATGCAGGCAAGTCACTGAAGCCCTTGGCGATAGAGGCCACACCAGAGAATAGTTCGCACACCTCGACATCCTGAGATCGCCAATGGGATGGGTCATCCTAGCGGACTGCCTGACAGAACCTTGCATAGTGCACTCTTTATAGTCAGGGCTCCCGCTGGCATTCCGGAATTCTCGCCGAAACAAAGCAGCAGTAATCAATGGCATGCACCCTGAGTCGAGCCGAATCCACATGAACCCACATGTACATAGAGACACATCCAACACTACATTGATGCACCATGGGCCAAGGAGCACCACAGGTGGAACGTGCAGCATGACCAACAGGCTTGTAGAGATCAGGCTGAGCTGTAGTGGCCCGTACTGGGAACGATCCTCCCTGGTGATAGATCCCGGCCCATGCCGTGCTGGCATTGCTCAGATCAGGACGGGCCAAACACCCCAGAGTCGAAGCCCTCGAAACCACAAAGCCGAAATCCCGCCCTGAACCCCATGCATGTAAAATTCCAGGGAAAGTTTTATGCTGTCGACGTAACCATCCATGTAGTGCTAGCGCTGAAAACATGAGCTAGAGATGAACCTGCCTCGGGGCCACATCTAGACAGCACACATGAGTTCAGATGCAAACATGATACTCGGTGTACAGACAGGTCGACGACATGTACACAGACATGAGCGAGCATAGTAGATGATAGTACATTTTCCCTGAAGCCACCACCACAGTGCACTCTTGCATCGATGAGGTAGCTCTATCACATCAGATTCTAGTTGCACGCCGGTCACATTCACTCGATCAGGGTCCGACCTTTAAACACAACCTACAGTACATGTGTGATGGTGCATGCCTCCACTGGTAAATGCTACACTAGCATAGTTGCTTTATAGCAGCTAGAGGACTATAGGCACAATAACCCTAGGCTAGGCCCCGTTACTCAGCTCTATAGTAGTTCACCATGCACAGGGAAAACCAATTGTAGATCTAGACCCTAGAGTGACTAGGACCGGTGACCCCTGTAGGGCCCAGGGATTCTAAATACCGATGCCTAGCTGGTATCCAGCTGGGCAGTCAATTCGAGGCACTCGACATCGCGATCACAATCACTGGCCCTCGGTTCTGCGCTTCTTCGCCGAAGCAGCCTCAAGGCACAGGCCAGTGGGAGATTATAACCTAATTCTCGAATTCGTTATTTGGAAAACGGGGCACCTAAAATGTGTGTCCACGACATACCGGCTAGTTCATTTGAGTGTTCAGATTAAGGTCTTGCCGACTTGGGAGGGCTGGGGATTTCATTTGATGCTGGATGTAGATTGTTGAGTGCAGATAGGGGTCCTCTGCTGCTGTCATAACCGAAATCATACAGGAAAAATCTGAAATGAAAGTAGACGACTCTAGCCGAAAATCTGGAAACCCTGCAGAAGCCTTCGTGTTCGTCTTGCGAGCACTGGGAGGAACAGGAGGGAGCTTGCCCTTCTTGATCTCCACATCCGTCCATCCCGCGAGGAACTTCGCGAGCTCCCACCTGGTGGTGTATCCGGGGCCGGGCTTAATCCAATTAGTTCGATTCTTATATATAAGTTTAAATAAATGTGCAGCTAGGAAGCGTGGTCTCAATTCCACCCCATTTGTTCCAAGCCATGCTTGAGCCACCCTTTTTGTCAATCTTCACCTTAGTTGCACACATCATGCTAGCTAGCTAGTGTGTTCTATGCATGTACATGGGTACACATTGTACACAGATTGAGATTTGGCATGCTACACCATAGCGCTCGCTGTCGTCAGCACACAGTGTCCGGTTGACATAGATCGAAGCGGAATACAAACAGCATGTGATCGGATTGATCTTGTCGTTGGTGTTCGCGATGTAGGCCGGAGGGCAAATCTGGTAGGACCTGAGATTGTCATGTATGTATCTCAGAAGCTCAGCCATGTTCAATTTGATGTATGTGCAGTCGTGACACTTGCCTGTGAAACCCACAGACGGCTGCAAGTCTTCCAAACCAGACGCCCGGACGACTTCAAGCATTCGGTCAGCCTTGTCCTGTGCAGCCTTCATCCGCTCTTGCTTCTTCTCGTCCGCTTCAGCCTGCTTTTCGGACAGGCTGAAAGATCTTGCCAGCTTGCGTTTCGATGTCGTCGCGGTCTCCGCTGGCTTCTTGGCAGATTTCTCGGTTGGCTTCGGCTTCTCCGCAGACTTAGTGCCGGGATTCTTGCAAGCTGCCTTGGCTTTGGGCTTCGACTCCTGCATCGGACAAGAGATATCATGTAGATATCTAGAAATCGAAGTGGCCATGGGGTGCCGGGTCAGTAGCACTAGCAGTCCTTTGCAGCCTGCCTCTTTTGCGCTTTCAGCTTGCGCTGCTCATCACGAACACGATTCCCGATTGGGGTTACCACGGGCACCTCCGTGAGCAGGTCCTTGAGCAAACTGTCGTACTCCTCCTGCAGATTCGGTGGGATCGGCGGCTCGACGTCCTGATCAGTGTACTCCCAGGATGATGGTAGATGCCATTGATTGGACTCGTTCATGGCTAGGTATGTCTAGCGCAGTGCATAGATAAACCTAGAACTCCAAATATATATATATATATATATAGCCAATTATTATAAATATAGTTTCACAAATATTTGAATTCTAGGTCTATCTATGCACTGCATGCACTATTATTAATGTTGCTAGGCCGGACTCAAATCCACTTGCAACTGGCTTTCTATTGGATGTGCTTACAAATTATTACATGTACAGCTTATTATAATAAATCGACGACTTAAGCCCACATACTTATAAGTGCAACTCACCCCAGCCTTGAAGCCCTTTCGGTCATGGTCCGACTTGGATCCATCCAGATCCTGATATCTAGCAGAATAATATTATATGAATATTGCTATCGCTGGTCATGTACAAAGACATTTACCCACGAACCAGTGCAAGCCATGAATCCTCCTTGGAGGGATTGTCCGATTTGGATCCATCCAGGTCGTCTCGCTCGGCTTTCTTTGCAGCCACCTGCCGCAGGTGGGGTGGGGCTCGAAGTCGATCTATAAGTTTATACCTGACGACATCTACCCTTAAGCCGTCATTAAGGCCTGCTCATCCACCATATCATGCAGCTCCCTCAATGCATCTGGTGAAAGAACGTCAGCAGGATTCGGAACCTTAGATCAGCAAGCCAAGGCCACATATCATGGTATGTACGATTGGTACGATATTATCTTTGAATGCAAGGGGCATCTTCCGGACCCAAGAACTCTTCGTCCTCGGGGTTGGAGGCCTTCGGATCACTAGCCTCATGGCAGGATGCATGTACGGTTTTTGCACCAAGATACCTACAACTGATCTGCAAGATCCGTACATGCTATATGGGAGCGGAATGGCCAAGATCCTGGAGCTCCGTAGCGAAAGCAGCATCGAGCTCCTGTGCAATGCAACATTATTATCATTTTGTACAACCCCCCGAATAGCTAGATACCCAGTCCTTCGAAAGGTCACGGCATGGTTCGACATCCGCTGCACCATCACTCAAATCCCCTTCGCCAGGTTCTTCATCGACCGGGATGGCTGCAGCACCATCGTTGTCGCCATCCTTGGAAATGAATGAACAGAGAGAGGGGCAGGGCTCAGGGCATAATGTAGCATGTGCATGCATAGCGAGTCAAGATAATAAGCGATCGTGTAGCCTCAGCATCATCAGCATCATTGTCGCCCAAAGGGTCCATACTAGCCTCCAGCTCGTCGGGAGTGGCCCACCCCATGCGGATGGCATAGAGCATCTTAAGGATCGCAGTCCTCTTGTTCCTTACAACACATAAGATAACTCTAACCTGGAAGGAGCAGACAAGTATGATAGAGCCATAACATCTATAAACTGACGAAGCTCTTGGCTCTCAATGTCCTCTTGGTCACTCGATGCAAAGAGGCAGCTAGAAGTCGAAGCTGACTACCCTCGTTCTGGGCCCATTCCTGATCAGGTTTGTGCACATGCAGACGGCTAGAATAACTGATCATGACATCATTAAAATTCGCTAGATTTTCTAATCCGTCCTTGACGACAGTCTTTCCACCACGCTTGCGCACATCTGGATGCAAGCCATAGGTGCAGGAAATATGGATAAAGGCAACCTCAGATTTTGAAAGACTGATTTCTTGCTCTATCCATGCTCATGATGCAAAGAGAAATGTGACCAGGTGACCCTATGATCGGCCAAGCAGGGGATCGGAGCATCGGGGTGAATAACACGGATGATGTAGCGCTGCAGCAGCTTGTAGTTCAAGCTGAACTCCTGGTCACAAGCCTGCCAATAAGCCCCTGGCTTTAGAGACAGAGTCAATTCGAATATACACCAAAACTCGATTTCATCACTGGAGCACTTGATGCATCGCCTTGCCACCTGTCGCTTTCCCGTGGTCGAGAAAGCTGTGTTCCTAAGAGTTCGAATGGAGCGAATTTGCATCGACTTATAACGATTAAAACGCCAAGACTCATCGTCCAGACGAATCTCCTCGACCTTCTTCGCTTCCTCCATGTACTGTTGCAAGGCCGTGCTGATGCGTTCAGCCCCCTCCTCGAGTCACAGATGATATGTATACATGGCGTACATGCATATGCAATAGCAATGTTTGCAAGACGACATGATAAACCAGCATGGACTTGCAGCCTAGGCTCTGTGAGGAAGTACTTCATGGGCTGCTCGAATCGACCCATGGTGGGAATCCCAAAGCAGGGCAAGCCCCTACAAGTTGCACACGCACACAAGACAGCATGAACCGACACATGCCACACTTAAGTGAACGATGCGGTCGACATCACATATATGGCGACATAGCTGTGCATAGACTGCATGTGCAAGTGCCCTCGAGCAAAAGATCTTGCAAAGACATCGTATCGACATCCCACACACTTGCAGCATGCTTGCAAACTTAAGCTCATGATGCAAGGGTGGGCATACCCTCCCGAAGCTTCCGGCGCTTTGCAAGAAGCAGCGAGTGCTTCAGCATGGCAACAAAAACATGCGATCACCAATTAAAGAACCATCTGGAGCTAAGAAATTATTAATGTTGCTAGTGGCGCTTGCGCCGAGATGTGTTCCTTGCACCGTCGCTCTGCAAGTCATTTGCAACGCAAGGAAGGATATGAGAATTATGCTATCGATGGTGTTGGGACTAGATATGCACAGCATGCTCATGCTCCAAGATTCAGCAAAATGCTGCAGAAAGGACTTTCGCTCCTAAGTGCTCCCTGGGCAGAAAATCCTCCCTCCACACAAATAAACCCGAGTCATCAAATATTGACTACTCGGACCCTCAGGGATTATGATTTAAGGTATATTCCTTAATTAAGGGGTATTGGGCTCTCTGGGGAGTGCCACAGGAAAGATGTGCATGAGCACTCAAGTAAGCTGAATCAATTTATTTTACAATATTTAAGGTAACAGCGGTAACGTCAGGTAGGGCAGGGTAAGTTAAAAGTAGAGTGAACCAAGAACGTGAAGCAAGTAAACAGAATAAGTATAAGGAATAAGACAGACAAGCCAAGTACAGCCTGTGCAACAAGTAAATAGGCAGGTCGGTACCAGTAGGCCGGGCGTTGACTAGGCAGGCAGGCAGGTAGGCAGGGAGACAGGGAGGCAGGCAGGCAGGCAGGCAGGAAAGTACAGGTAAGCAAGTAAGGAAGCAAGCAGGCAAGACAGCAAGTAAGACAGAAAGTAAGTAAGTCAATAACTGAGGGAGTATATAATAAAGCAAATGGGTGCGTGGGTGGATACTAATCAGGTATTCATGCCTGCGACAGCTTGCAACCCAACCATAGAAACAATACCGAATAGCGGTTTTCGAGCAGTCGACTGCCACCAGTGACATGAAAGTTGTCGCACTTGGAGTCTTGGAGCTTAGGGAACACCCCGCCATGAGCATCATCAAAGAATGTTCATATGTGGTACTACTGGTCACACCGGAAACCGGCCTTTCGTGGGATCACTAAAATTGTCACGAAATTCAAACTAAGGGCCTACAGAGGGGTTGTGCCTTCGAACCAGCCGTTACGCCGGCCAGACCCCATCCTTTCACACAGAGCATCCATGTCCCAACCATGATAACGTCCGCCAGTCCACCCGGACCCCGTCCGTTTTCGCATGGCATCCAGGTCCCAACCAGGATAATGTCCACCCGGACCCCATCCGTTCCCGAAGCGCGTCCATGCTTTCGGATAGGCTTGCTGCTGACAGCTCCTTATGAACAGCTGAACGATAAAGAGCCGTGGTCGATTTTGTGAACCTTTCAAAAAATCCACACGGTTTCATGGTGCCCAAATTTCGCTCAAACAAGCCTTTCCGTAGCACATGCCGGAACTCCTGCAAAAGGCCTAAAGTACCACGCCTGCCATGCGAATCGACTGTAGGGCTCCAAAAACGGCTTTGGGCACTCTTTCCCTTAGCATCAATATAGCCCAAAAGCCTTATATAATACGGCCTTTGGGCTCAAAAGCCTAAAATATGAGTCCTTCGATGCTAAGGGTTTGTAGAAAAGACCACCTGGCAAACTGGACGTTCTCGTTTCTTCGAACCTTCGAATGTGCTGCGCCTCTCAGCAAAAACAGCGTTCCGGTGCGGGACTTAAAGCGTTGGACCGGCACAAAACGTGTGGTTCGAATGAGGTTGTGGGAGTTGAAAGTAACACTTACTTGCCCCCACACCCTAACACCCCAAAGTCTAAATCCGAAATCTTAAACCCTAAACCCTAAACCCTAACACCCCAAAGTCTAAATCCGAAATCCTAAACCCCAGAGGCATCGCTGTCCTTGCTCTCAAGTTCGGGGCCCAGCTTCAGCTCGATTGGGGTTTCCTCGGACACTCACTAAACTTCTGAAACCCTAAACCCTAAACCCTAAACCCCTAAGCTATAGACCCTAAACCCTAAAGACCCGAGACCCTAAACCCTAAACCCTTAAAACCCTAGACTACTAGACGACCCTACACCCTAAACCCTATAAACCCTAGACCCTAGACCCTAAACTCCGGATGTAGGGCTTCAGTGCAGGCTCTGGGGCATCTTCTTTTTAAGGAACAGGGGGCGACTTCTGAGACTCCGACGAGATGGGGAAGAATGAGAATTCAATGCAATTAGGGTTTAGGGTTTAGGGAGTTTAGGGAGTTTCGGGTTGAGGGGAGTTCAAGCTGGATGACAAAAGAACAAACAAGCCCCACATCCGAATCGGTTGAACACAGCTTGATAGTTGTTAGCTTGGGATGGGCTGTGAGTAGAGTTACACGTAGCCTCCCGAAACCTTGAAACGCAGCCTACACCCAAACCCGTCAGCTCCCGCCACTCGCAGTGGTTGCTTGTTCGGTTCCGAGTTTCAGGGTTCAGGGTCTAAGGTGTGAAAGGCCCTTGGCCCTACCTAGACCCGCGCCCCCTGCTCCCCCACCTTCCCCGGAGCATAGAGCTCAGGAATTGGCAGGTTGACGGATTCAGGCAAACGTAGTCGGGTTTAGAGTTTTGGGTTTAAGGATAAGGTTTAGGGGGTTCACGAAAAATGTGGATAGCTCAGGCTCGAGGTTGTTGAGGAACGTCTTGAAGCTTGCATTATGCTGTTTAGGATGTAGGGTTTAGGGTTTAGGATGTTGTGTTTAGGCTTGGGGATATGCCTCAGGGTCAGGCAATTCTCGCCGTCTCGCCGATCATGGGCCGTAAGGTTGAGGGTTTATAGGGCTTAAGGTTTATGGCTAGGTGTAATCACCGCGACCCGAAGGGAACATTAAGTCTAAAAGCCTTGTGATCAAGGACTTCCCCCCATCGGAAATACATTTCATCTTCTCCAGAAGGAATCATCACAGAAGCAACGTGTCTCAATGCCGTTCTGGGATCACGTAATTTCAAGACGGTGTTGGGGGAAAGTGGACTGGAATTATATTAGTTAAGGACATAAGTCATACAACAAGCGAATCATTCCGACACCTATGTTACCGCAGTTCTCCAGATTAGGAGTCCTTTTTGGGTCCTTCTTATACGGATGCCGTACTAATGCTATTTTGGGGGACTAAGAAGGGCCGTGATTTAGAGAACTACCCATGTATGTTCGGGCAGCCGTCGGGTTGGTTTAGGGTTCAGGGGTTTAGGGGCTTAGTTTTATGCTTTTGGGGTTTAGGGCCGGGGGGGTTTCGGTGCTCAAGGACTTTCGTAAACCTCGCGCAGGCTGGGCATGTCGGCTGCTGCCTTGGGGGCACATATAACCCCCTCCTCTGGTGAATTCCTAGTGACATCTTGTATCTAGCTAAGCGAGGAGTTTCTGCAGAGTCGATGGTATGCGAGACTGTTCTAGGATCTTCCAGGAATGAGTGGCTCTCTGAGTCCTCGCTTCACTGATTGAAAATTCGAAAACAATCGACAACTCTGGCCTTGCCGATTCTTCAGCGGAAGAGAAGGGCCGTGTACACAAACACTTCCTGCTATCGAAAGGTTGGTTACTATCTGCGCACCGTACCCCTGTGTCACACCCCCTAAACCCTAAACCCGGAATCCCGAGACTAAAAGTCGTTCAGTGTGAGGAGGTCGGACGCAGGAAGCCGTTGTCGCTCAAACATTAGGGTTTAGGGCTTAAGGTTTCGAGTTTAGGCTTTCGGGCATCTTGGCTCCTTTGCTCCCAGCGGCAGAACCGGCATGTCGTGGAACGGAAACATTCGATGCTCAAAATCCAAACTTACCTAATACCTCAAGAGTAGCAGTTCTAATGTAGATACATCTGAAATCAAGGACCCAACCAAGGGCTGCTTAGAAGGAACGTGATACCCTCGCACGTGAGTGTACAAGATCATCGACCTAAACCCTACCCCCTGAACTCCCTAAACCATAAACCCTAAACCCTACAACCTGGACCAAAGGTCGCACCGACGGAGCTATTATGCTCCTCCAGAGGGCAACGTCTCGAAGCCTGCTTTGGTGCCCGGTCTCTGACAGCCAGCGCTGTGCGACTCAGCCAAAACGTGCAGGCAAAAACATGTTTAGGGGTTCATAGTGACTGTCTATGTTAAAAAAAATACACAGATACAGCGATGTAGTTGTGGAATGCGATCAAACGCAATCTAAAATGTCAAAAAGAGCACCAAGAAACACACAAAACATGAGGCAGTCCAATACAATAAAATTTCACATACTATGCTATACTCTGCCAGAATCTAATATAGCATACGAACAAAAATACAAACAGCGACAAATGTAATATCACAATATTACACGGTGTTTTCGGTCTATCCCGTACCACTCGGGGCATTCTCTGTTTGGTGAAAACAGGCCTCCGGGGATGGTGTCATTACTTTCACTATCGGCCGTGGTAATTCGAATTGGGTCTTGGAGTACATGGTTTAGGGTTTAGGGTTTAGGGGTTTAGGGGTTTTAGGGGTTTAGGGTTTAGGGTTTGGGGTTTAGGGTTTAGGGGGAAAGAAAAAAGCTGATCATAGATATATGGACTCCACGGGAATATTATGCTACGGATTCCTCAGACCCTATCATTTTCGGCTAGTATGCCCAGGTC